AAGACAGACATTCAGGGTCAGACCCAGCTCGTATAATAGAGATTCCAGCAAGCAAGGGCGAGACAACTTGGGGAATTGCACCTACCTACTCTTTCACTGCGAGATAGGTAGGGAGAAATCCGGCGATCTTTTTCTGGTCAGTGCTCTCGGGATCCGAAGAGAGACGAACGAATGATATCATACGCGAACGCCGCAAATCGATAGAACAATGCCGTTGAATGCAACGGCGCTGAGAATAGGACAATTGGTGGCCTAGCGAGAATATCTAGGTATTTCGTGAGAGCTGGCAGACGCCTATTCCACCCGTCTACTCCGAGGTTTCAATCTTTCTTTTCTTCGTTGCCGTCTCTTCTTGCTACGCCTACTGCAGCACGGTGTTATCTTTTACGTATGTACTGACTGCTCGTGGTACGATGCGACTGTGCGACCAACAGGATGCAAGCTCGGACGAGGGTGCAAAAGATTGCCTGAGATTAATGAGGTGGAGGGCAAGCGATTGGATCAGGAAGGGCGGGCGCGTAGAGTGACTCCAGATTGGCTGCAATGGGGAGTTCAAAGAGGGGTGTCGAGGGTGTCGTCTTGGTTGGACGTGTCGTGTTGTTTTTAAATCCTGGCAACGCGTCCGGCCAATCAGGTCCACCTCTGCATGCACTTTGCGCATCCCCCAAATGCTAACCCAACGCGTGCTAGTGGTAGTCCGTAGTGCGCTACAACTACGTAACCTAAGCTGCGCCTAGTGAGCTGTTACATGCCAAAGTGCAACTCCATTTACAGAGCCCACAGCAAGGGATGTCGCTTTTCTGATTGAATCTCGATCCAATATAGACGCTAGTCGCAATATCAGTAGCCGCGCCGGTACGCCAAAACTTTACAGGTAAGGACTAACGACTCTAATTTCACCGAAAAACCTGAAACCTGAAACATTGTTTTTGAGCCGCTAACATGATCGATCGCTTGCGTTGACCGTAATGTGAATTTTACAGCGGTATACTCTGTCTTCTATTCACGACAGATACCCAGGAACTTCATATCACCTGTATACGATGAAAACACACATCCCAGCAGACGCCAGGTACCATACTAAATGTGAGTACCTGGATAGATGTTTCATGTTTCATGTGCATGGGCTATTGCCTCTGGCACCAAGAGTTCAGGTACGGCAGACTCCAATTCAAAGACACATGTGGCAAGTTCTAACAATATGCTGAGGGCAGATGCGGCCACACGGGTCCCAACCTTCCAAGGCCTCTCAATTGGTGTACATGACACCAGGATCTATTGTCTCGATTGTCTCTTACTAGCAAACAAATCCTTGAGTGGCAAAGCTACCAGTGATCACCTACTGAGCTCATTGTCTCGATCTGTGTCTGGTCCAATCATCTCTCGTTGGTGATAGAGCAGCGTCAGAGCGACGCCCTCCTTTCAACGACTGCCAACTCATCATAACCCTGACTCTCACCGAATCGAAGGATTGACCCTCATGGCCGAGACCCGATCTTCCGTGAATTATGCCCCGAAATTATTGTCGTTAGCTGGCCGGTTGGCCTGCGACCTCGTGACCAAAGTGGTAGAGCGTCGATGGCATGGCCTACATTACTGGTAGCATGGCCACTATTCTGGGAGCTTCCTAAGATCCGAGTTCCCCGTTATTGTGGCCTCTAGTGATCATATGGGCAGTGACCCATTCAACTATCCATTCGATTATTGTACGTGGCAGAATCTCAGGCGTTCTGGTAAGCCTGAGGGAGACCTATCAGCTCACATCATATCACCATGAAGGGGCGTAACCACGCACGCCAGGCACTCACTGGTGGGATAGACTACGCGGATATGCCGTGACTAATTGCCTGAACAGTTCGAGGGTACAGCTGACTCCCTGCCACGGAGACTACTCCGTCGATTCTACAACTTCAATACCATATCCACTCAATACACCGCCCTGGCAAGCAATACGTAGTTTAGACAACGCTTGTGTCGGGTTTAAGTTGAACGGGAGATCTATGAAAATGGACCTGTAGATATCACTAAATTCTAGCCTACTAAACATGCCATGCTGTGAGAAAACTGTCAACTGGTTTCTGTGACGTATATTCTAGGCCTTGACCATATTTGCAACGCACAGCTATTTGTCAATCAGGCAACTAAGACATTGCAACATGCATAGTCTACACAAAAGAAAACGGCTCTTAGAGCAGTGGCTTCTGCATACCGAAACACGAGCTGAGGCTACGTTTCGGACGTCCCTCGCGTTTGGTAATTGTCATTGGGGCTAGTGCCACCACCGAAGGAAAAGTCACTTGTAGCCTATCAGGATTAAACTCAGGTGTGACCTCAAAACTTGAGAGGCTTGGTCTAGCAGGCAAAATTTGTACACAATTAGGTGCTTTTTTAAATAATCGACGTGATCAAAATCGCTGTAGCTAGACCATCTAGAAGCACCCAGTGGAACTTCAGTATGACTAAATCACCTGGATCACCTGATTCAGTCATACTGTATCATCATCACCGCTTCTGGAGCTGGATGCGGGGGTTCTGCATGCTTGGATCACAGCGTCCAATGTTGATAGAGGGACAATACAATCGGGGCCCTCGGAGGTCATATCACACGTAATACAAGGCAAAGAACAGTTCATGTCTCGAAACTCGGGGGTCTGAGTCAAACATGATGTCTGAAAGCGAAGACAATAGTACATTGAAGCTTATTGGCCCCGAAAACTGTACTGTCGTGAAGATGATTTCATAAGTAGATAGTATCCGAAAGAAAAGGAGCTGACATATGATAGGATTCTTGCCGGCGATAAATCGAAAACATGACCTCCATAATACTTGGCCTTAGCTGCGAGTTGATCAAGTGAGTATAATTCAAGGTTGTCCTGGTTTCAGGGGTTAATCGAAGTGCTCTTTCACAGCCTAAGTTTAACGAGGCCACAAATTCTATTTCTTTGAGGGCCATTCTATATGAACAAACAAGCGGTCGTAGGCTATGTAACAAGTCATGTAACAAAGAAAGCACGTACAAATATTTCAGGCAACCTTGACTAGAACTCTCACTAGAAATAGTCTTTTTCCCGAGTGAACCCCTCCTATTAGATAAGTTCGATCTTCAGCAACAGTCGATTTTGTTACAGTACTAGAGCCTCTTATTGTTTGTTGCCTCTCGCCCCTTATCAATGTTTCTGGACACTTGTGCCGGTCGATCTTCATGAAATATGATCAAAAGGCCCGAAGGGCCAGCTGGGAGCAAAGTTGAAGGATATCTTTGAGATTAAAGGCAGTTTAATGTGGTCCTATAAGAAAACAATTGGGCGTTTCAATTTATTCTGACAGTAACTCGGATGAATCCCTGCGTGAGTGTTCTGTGTCAATTAACCTAGCAATGTATTACTTATCAAGCAAGTTAAAAAACTCTCCAACCCTCGTCAATTCCACCCATAAACAGAATGTGTTGAGTGAGATTAGGCTATTAATAAATCCAGCTTGACATCTAGCGGAATGGTAAAATGTAACGGCATTTGTAGCAGCCTGTCGAAACGACCAGTTCCTGAGACCAGGCCGCTTCAGCAGTAGGATGGCCGACTTCCTAGGAAGGCGCTTTAGGTAGATAATGTACTGTTTTCGTGTGAATTATTGTTACCGACCGTTCTTTATGGTACTTTCCTATCTATGGATGTCTGATTTACACTATCAACCTGTTAGGAAACCTGTACTTGAGTTAAGGCAATAGATACCCGGCGTTACATGAGATCCCCAAGACCATCTCCGTGAGGGTTATCTGACCCATAATACACAAGGAGTCTCTTTGCGTCTGTGAGTCGGTACTTTGCTTTGCCTTGAGCCTTATGATAACACCGGTTTCCCTGCCAGATCAACTGGCATCATTTAGCTAAGTTGAATATTGTATAGATAGAGGAGCGAGTAACCTACGTCGCGAGAGCCTATAATAGTCTCTCTTGGGCAACGGATTTTCAACAAGCAGCAGCAACGCTTCCGTAGGATGCAGTAGCTGCCCGGTTAGCTCAATCGGTAGAGCGTGAGACTCTTAATCTCAAGGTTGCGGGTTCGACCCCCGCATCGGGCTCAATTCCCGATGCTTATCAGTTAACTGAGATCAGCAACGAAATTTTTCTTTTTCTTGATAGTAAATCTCCTCGACCAGAACCCAAGCTCACATTTACCTATTAAACAATTTGCTAGCAATGTAGCAAGTTATACATAAAGCTTCAGTGATTGCTTAAACTAAACTTACCTAACCTATGCTTACTTATTTTTATTGTAAGGTTGGGCGTAAGCTATAGCATATGACACTTCTCATAGAGATGATCAATCTATCATACTTTGATCCTATATGAAATATTAAGGTCGGCTAGCTAATATTATGGTAGGACAGAGGATCGTTTAATCATGTGAATAGGACGTGTTTCCCTAGTCTCAGTAACGACACATTGTTCCTTGAGCAGTATAGTTAGAGCCTCAACACAAGCGGCAGAGTAAGCATATTCAGAGGACCAGCGTCCATTTCAACGATCGGACCAGTAGCGTAGGTGGGTAAGCTTGTTCACGACTAAAACTTGTCGAATTTTGAGCCTTGTGTGTTGTGCTCGACTACGGTCCAGTTTGTATGCAACACCAAGTAATTCCAGATTATTCCAGATTATTCCAGATTAGACAGTGGGATATTATCTTAGACCCTCTTAACTCTAGTCTATTCTGTGCTGCAACGAGTCATAATAATAAAGATCTAAGCCGCGGTTTAACTAGAGTCGTCCCAAAGTTCTAGGCCGTGCAAAAATTTTCGCCTTTTTCTTCCTTTTCTCTTCCTTTCTTAACACCATATACGGGCCGATCTGCTCAACCACTCAAGGCCTCGTGGCCCAATGGCAAGGCGTCTGACTACGAGAGAGATTCGGAAATGAATCATTCACGGCGATCAGGAGATTCTGGGTTCGACCCCCAGCGAGGTCAGTGTGATAGCAAGTCGTCACCGTAGTGTGGTGGTGATCGGTTTCGTGGCCCAATGGCAAGGCGTCTGACTACGATAGAGGTTCATTATGAGGCTACTGCACTCAGTAATGAATGCTTTACGATAATCAGGAGATTCTGGGTTCGACCCCCAGCGAGATCAGTTGAACACGGACAACCCACAGGTGCATAACCTTGATATCGTTATTTTTAATATTGTTTTGTGTCACGGTATTGCCTTTCAATGTTACCTTTAGGTCGAGGAGGGCTTGTTGTAAGGGTGCTTTACCATTCTTTGGCTAATAGCAAGTTTCAAATAGATGAATTACTTGGATTGTCAGCATAAGGTGACGATACCTAATCTAAACAGAAACATGTATGTACCATTCATTATAGGAAAGGGTTTGTTTTTTTGAACATGTATAATACCTACCTCTAATAGGAGACTGCAATGATACGGATAAGTTGCATTAGGTAATTATAGGGATCAGCCTACCTAGGTAGGTGGGATGATCAACCCCGCCATCCCGAAACCAACCGACGACATCATTTCGGCTGCCCCTCCATCTTATCCTAGTTCAATACTTTCTTACGTTAATCAATTCGAACCTTCATGCTACTATGTAGACAGCCATTCGACGATTACAGCCTCGCAAGACCACCAGGATGCCGCATTGGCGGGACGACTATCTGGCCTCGTTGCAAGAGGCGGAGCGCAACAACCCGGTGAACAAGGACCTAGTCGAAGCTTGTAAGCGGTGCCCTGTTTGACCATGTTTCGTTTGGACAAATAACCATGACAATGCCAAACCCGCCCCTGTTCAAGCAAAGAGATCGTTGGTGTTGTTCATTCCTAGTCACGCGAAGCTGACAGCGGTGCTCCTTCGCCCCCTCTAGGCTCCCAGCTCGCAGACAGAGTCGCGGCGCTCGAGGCCGAAAAGGCGGCCTGGGTCGTGGGTTCGTCGACGTCATCGTCCACCAAGGCAGCAACCGCGTCCTCGAAACAACCTCCGTCGTCTAGCGCGGCCGATCCTCCGACCTCCTCCTCGTCGTCAGAGGGCGTAGTAGCACAACTCCGCCTCGATCTCGCCGAGGCTATTCGTGGACGTGGCCAGGCGCAGACACGTCTCAAGGCCGCCGAGGCCGAGCTCACGTCGCTGCGATCTAAGAATAAAGTCGACGGCAAGCGTATCGGCGACCTAACGAGCGAGCGCAACGCGCTGACCGCCAGGGTGCGCGATCTGAACGAGGAGCTCGAGAAGAAGAGAAAGTTCTTGAAGGTACGTCGGCTAAGCTCGATACATGGAAAATTCAATGGGGGGGAAAGATAGTAGCAAGGCAAGAGAAGGCCCCCTTGCGCTAACTACATATCCTCTCTCTAGGATATACAAGATGACAACCTCACGCTGAATATGGAACTTAATATGACCGCACAAAAGGCGGCTAAAGTGCAGGCCGAGAACAAGGACCTTGTTGACCGTTGGATGAAGAGGATGGGTCACGAGGCCGACGCCTTGAATCTTCAGAACGAGTCACCAAACAAGCATCATAGATGACGGCGACACGGGCCAAATGAAAAAGCCAAAAATCCATCATCATTACTATACCTGGTATCATTTGCATTCGCATCGTCTATCTAGTAAGTGTCTAAACGTTCCCTCGCTCCTAAGCTCCTAAGCTCCAGCAAATGCTCGCATACTACAGGCTATGTAACCCGTTACCCCGTCAAACTGACGGGTAAATTCGTTTCCTCCGCGCGAGGTATAAGTACAAACCATCACTGACCTCTACTCTAGCAATAAAACCCCTGTACAACATGGCCTGGCTGGATTTTTATTTTTTGGTAGAAATGTAATACTCCCCGTCGGATGCTGCCCAGCTCACCCAACCCTCGTGATATCGGAAATATTCGACGTCGAGGATGCTCGTGGCAACGTCATTGATTGCCGTTTTGTTCTCGTATACGAAGGACTTGAGAGATATGATTTTGCAGCCCTTCTTCAAGTCCAGGAACATGTTGATGAGAGCATCGTTGAGGGTCGCCGTGAAGGCCTTGTTATTCACCAGTATAACATCCGCCTCCTTTAGTTTCTCGAGGATCTTCGTGCTCGTACGGAAATCGCCCTTCTCGAGATGAACCCTTCCTGGCGCGACGCCCCACAACATACACCGTGACCTGAACTCTTTTTCTTGGGCCTCTGCCAAGGTGTAGGCATTTTCCATCATCTCGCAGCCGTAGCTGCGACATCCAATCTCAAGTGCAGCCTGGATGACGACATTGCCGACTCCAGATCCGAGATCGATAAAGACTTGGTCCGATGTCATTTTCGTCTGCTCTACTAGAATTTTGGTAACAAAGGGGTGCAAGAGCTCCCCATATACATTGTCGCTTCCGGCGTCGTACTTGGTCAGCATTTCCACTTTCGGGGCCACTGTACGGTCATAGACCTGGGTGAGAATCAAGGAGACAAGTTTAGACGGCAGGTGGTGGATCCGGTCGAGATTCCTGGCGACGGTACCGCATTCTACCAGTTCTAGAAGTTTTGTGTTGTAGCTGTCAAGCGCTGCTCGGAAGGCCGAGACATCTCGGTATTTCTCGCTTATGGCTCGCTCCATCTGCCTCTTGAAACTCATGTTGTGATCAATGAAAACCTTCGAATCGGCGTCAGTGAGATACGTCTCGGCTACATTGTCAATGATTGCGAGAATATCTTTGACCGCATCAATCTTGTCTTTTTGCCATACAAGCTCATACCTAGAATATAAAGTTAGAAAGGACTATATTTTGAAACCTGTTTCAAACTTACCTCTCCCGTGAGCAACGTGAAGGATACTGCACCTCAATCGCGATTTCGTCGTCTTTCGCACCAGAAATCGGAGGACATTTCGTTGCTCGTGAGACAAGATCGGCTGCATGGACGATATTAGGTTTCCTGACGCCATCGCCAAACGCCTTCTTGTGACGCAACTTGCGGTTCACGTCGACCAGCCTGCCATCACTCCGTCGCATGCGCTTTCGGAAAGGATCCCCGTCGTCATCTTCCGAATCAGTATCGTTGCCGAAGACGGGGGAATCGCGGGGCGTGCTTGTGACCGCCTTGCGCTTTCGGTCGAGACGTAGCTCGTCGGAAGAGGAGGGGTAGGGCGATATGCTCTTTGGTCGGGGCGCACGGGAGTGGGGGGATAGCTTTGTCGAGAGGGAGGCGTTGGTGGAGGAGGCGCGCACGCTGCTGGAAGGGATCGGTCTCGGTCGGGGCTTGCTGGGCACGACGACCTTTTCCACGCGTACAGTGGGCGGCGCCGTCTTGAGTTTTGACTTCTGGCCAAAGAGCCCCATGATTACTACCAACAAGTCGCGGGCTGCTAGCTATAAAGCACGTCACGGTATATAGTGCAAAACTTTACGAGAATTCAGAAAGGTCATAGCATTATCCACCGCGTAAGGAAGGGAGGGGAGGGATCAAGTTCGTGAATGCGCCGGTGCTCGGGTATAGCGCGGGGAGGCAACGACGCCAAAGACAAGGCTCCTAAGACATGTAAAAGAGAGTGGTGCGCCGCAATGCGTGTGGTACGATCGAGAGAGGGGCGAGGGGCAGAAGAGAGAGTGCAACAACAAATGGCGGCGGCGGTAGTAGAAAAAGAGAGTGATGCACCGAAGTTGCGTAGGACTCACGGGGAAACAGGCGGGACTGCAGTGGGAGGCGAACTGCGTAAGGTCCGGATTGGGAAGGCCTGGCAAGAACCCTGGGCTATCTAGTGGAGGCACAACTTCGACGGCCTAGTTGCCTTGTCCCACGCAAAAGAGGGCGAAAGCAAGGCTCGACTCATTGGAAAGCCCAAGGGTTCAGCTTCTCCACCAAACCCCGACCCCACTTTCTTTCTTTAGGATGTCATCTGCAGGAAGGATCACTACGCGGGTGCCCCAAGATTCCGCCCTTGGACTTACGTCCCTGAAGTATGCATACATATCAACGACCCTTGCAGACATACTATATATGTACGTGCCGTCCCTACACTACTGCAGTTGTATGCAGACAATAGCGACAGGCACCGCTCGGCTAAATATACATACCTATTATACATGTAGGCATGCACTGAAAGTTGTTAGAAAGATATTGTTCAGATTGCGTAAGGACGTGCATATGTACTTACAAATTCAAACGTGTCTTTATACGACTGCCGTAGGAAACGGTAGTAGTAAACCCGGTATAGAGGATACCCCAAGTACAAATATCACCCGCATCGTTTTCTCATGTTGGTGATTAAGAGGGCAACCCACCAAGCAAGCCATGCTAGCAACGCTCGAAGCTTACGCGGTCTTATTCCATCGTAATCCTCTTATAGTCACCCCTGTCATCCAGTCGACCTTATCATTCATGGTGCCCCAGAGCAATCGAATGCAAATCGATTAGATCATACGAATAAGTAGATCCGTGTATGGACTTCTAACTTATCGTTTTATGTTGGTTAAGTTGTCATAGCGTCAGATATTGCTATCAGTATCATACAGTGACAGCCGATCACTCAAAAATGTTAACTTCAAAGAGAAATTGCCACATCAGTAGTCTTGGTTAGTAACAACAAGGAAACAACCAATGCATTCTTGGTATCTTTGCTACTGTTGATGTGCCATAGGGGGACATTTTGAAATTGAATTTTGTGAGATGGCAAATTATATCATAGGTCTTTACTTCAGAGGCCGTATCGAGCTTTATCCAAGCATAACCGCGTTTTATAAGGACCTTGGTACTCAAGTTAGCCGGATTGAGAACTCATCTCATCGTCTCTTTCACGTTTGCTTTGACATTATCATTGACCCCTCCGTGATACGCCAACACAATGGCTCTTTATCATAAGCCCATGTTGACATGCAGCTAAAATGCCGTCCGAGCAGGCAAAGGTTCTAGAAGCTCCCCTCTCAAGCGATTGATCTTAACCAACATTCGTTACAGACTAATACTAGGTTACCATTATGACGAAGAGAGAATTTATTGGCTTAATTATCACATTGGGACTTGCGGCCCGGTCCGTCAACGGTCAACTCGAGCCCGATTGTAATCCCCTCTACACCGAATGCCCTGCGAGGAAGGGCTGGCCGGCGGAAAATTACTACATAGACTTCACGAAAGAACAGGGCCCACCAGATGACTGGATTATTGCTGA